ATATATATATATATATATANATATATATATATATATATATTTGTATACATACATATACATATATATATGTGTGTGTGTGTGTGTATGTGTGTATATATATATTTATATATATCATATTGTATATGTGTCTGTGTCTGTGTATTTTTTGTGTTCCAGTGTGTCTGTGTGTCTGTGTTTAGGAAATGATGTTATGGGTCTCGCTTATCATGTAGGTTTGTTAGGAATATGTTTTGCATCTAGTCTTCTGTTTTCAGTATGCATCTTGCCTTGTTTCGTATCAATTTGTTGTATTTTTGCGCCATAATGTGTCTTTTTTTTGTCGCGTCTTGTTCTACAAATCGAAGTCAATTCTCACAGACCCGTATGTGATTGTACCAGGTCGCGTGTCTGATATCACGCATGTACATGTACTCTGGTTTATGCCTCGTTCCCCTCATACCCATAGCAATATTGCGCATAGTCAACGATCCGTGTGTATCGAAGTATATACCTGTATCACTGTATCTCAATGTCATACATGCCTGTGTATGGAAGTGAGTGCACACACCACTTCATCTCAATGTCATACATGCCTATGTATTAAAGTGTGTACACATACCACTGCATCTCAATGTCATTCATGCCTGTGTATGGAAGTGTGTACACACACCGCTGCATCTCAATGTCATACATGCCTGTGTATGGAAGTGTGTACACACACCTCTGCATCTGGTGGTTGCTCAAGTCACTTCTGTGTTCCACACAGAGACGTCCTTTTCCGTGCCGATGGCAGAGGGCGTCACGTCGTCGCAGCCACTCATCAGTCTGCCCAATTGGCTCGGCGGATCGTCAGCGTATGTGATTTTGTGTGAATCCATGTCTGCTAATGTATATTTGTGGTGTATATGCCTTTGTGCACACTGGCATATATATATATATATATATAGTATTTATATATATATATATATATATATATAGAGATTTATATATATATATGTGTGTGTGTGTGTATGTGGATATTTTTGTGTGTGTCGTATGTGTCCGTGTGTGTGTTGTGTGCGCGTGTGTGCTATTCATGAATATGTCGTGCGTGTGCTGGCATGTGTTCAAATATGCGAAATGCTTGGTGCTTTTGTGTTCGTATATAGATATATCGTGTTAGGGGTGGCCTGTACCAGGGGATGTCCTTATGGCGTGCTCTGTCTCTCGCAGAGCCATGTATGTCCATGTAAGACACGTTATGCACATTATATATGCTATAAGCTTGAAACTATTATCTTGAATCGTAAAATACAATCAAGACCGTCTTCAGTACCTAATTTGTGGGAATAAGTTTCCCGTCATACATGGCTCATCCTCCATACCCAAGTTTGGATCGTGTACCATATGTGTATTCAAGTCTCTATTGGCCTACAACTGCCTGACTTAGGTCGGATAAACCACCAATTCTGGCGATGAAAGGGGGACAGTATGATGTCAAGCGTCAGATGGACGATGTCACTGCCGTCGCCGAATCAGGCATGCCCCGCAGACAGACCACCCACGCCATCTTGGTGGATATACACAACGTCGAGGAAGTATATGTATGGATCCCCATATGTGGGTATAGCTGTGTGTGTGTGTGTACATGCGAGTTTGGTGCATGTATATATATATATATATATATGCGCATGTACAGTATATGGCAAGATATACTGTTCGATAGTGTACGTTCTCGTGTTACTTTTATATTTGTGACAGAGATAAAACACGGCTGGGACGCCGCGGGGACTGAAAGCATTTAATCAAAGAGGGCGGAGTCTTTCTTTCGGAAGTCGGGCCCCTGGGCTCTTTTTTGTGGGTTTTTTTTAAATCAATTAAACAATCAAAAGTGGAGTCTTTCCTTCTGAAATGAGGAGGGACTCCAAGGGGGTCTATAAATGGGTCAAATAGCGTCACGGACGGGGTTTTTTTTTTTCGACCGACAAAAACCGGTGATAAAGTCGACAGGGACTTGGAAAAGCTTACGCTTTCAATACTAAAATCCTACCTGTTTGTGATCTATACGTACAATATTTATGCACATGTTTACTGCTTGTCTTTTAATACTTTTTTTCATATTTTTTTAGCAATAGGGCTCAGTTATGGACACCCACTATTTACCACCCCGTAGCCACTTTTGTACTGTGTCCTGAACTCTCAACTTATATTCCAGACCAGCGAACCCAGCGATAGTAGCCAATCAAAGAGGCACAAGACGGCGGAGACCCCTACCGATGTCCTGGAGAACTGGAAGCTTGAGCAGGAGTCGGAGGATGATGCACCTAATATGGAAGAAAAGGCAGGCACATGCACCATCCAAGCCATCCGGTCGATTTGGTAAGCTCTACACTTGAACATAGAGACTTACAATGGTAGTGTATATGTACATAGAGACATACAGTTGTAGGGTGTATGTGAACATAGAGACTTACAATGGTTGAGTATATGTACATAGAGACATACAGTTGTAGGATGTATGTGAACATAGAGACTTACAATGGTTGAGTATATGTACGTAGAGACATACAGTTGTAGGGTGTGAGTGAACATAGAGACTTGCAATGGTTTTGTGTATGTGTACATAGACATGCAGTTGGTGGGTGTATATGTACATAAAGCTATGCACTTGTTGTGTGTATGTGTACATAGAGACTTACAATGTGTACATAGACATACATTTGTTGTAGGTATATACAATAATCATGCACTATCAGGTAGTTAGGTCTATAGTTGGGTAGTATCCCTAACCCGTGTCATAAGCTCTCATTTAAGTACGATCATCAATCCACAAATACACCCGCCATGCAAGCCATCCTGCATACCGTTTGTAGTCGGCCATATTTGATTTATACTGAGCAGCATGTCATATGACTGACTGTCCCTCCCGCTTGGGTCTGGTCACCCGCCGTGTGCTCTCAAAACAAACATGCGTGCAGAGTGTCTTGAGGCCATCTTCATATACGTATATGTGATGCAGCTCACAATCCCATTGTATCGTGGTCGAATTTTATCAGCATCACTTGGCTGCTTATGTGTGTCCCACACTCGCGGTATTGTCTTCCTTGGTCGACTCCGTCTTGTTACCAAGGGTATGTGCATTGTGCACGCACCTCTATATATAGTAGCTGTGTACTTTGGCATATGTCCACATTGCTTGCTTTTAATACATCAGCGCAGCAGATAACGAAACTACCGCTTTTCCCGAATCCTTCTAATTTAATAATGGAGCGCAGCCATTGGTCGGGCGGCATAGCAACGGAGTCGTCTATCTATGGTGCATACATGAAGACCATCCAGCAGGCCCAGCACTTTATCTATATCGAAAATCAGTACTTTGTTTCAGGCTGCGCGGGTGGTGGGGTGGAGAACGAGATATGGAAGGCTCTTATGGTACGTACTTAGTAATGCATTTACACTTGTGGTTTATACGAATACGTGTGTGTCCGTGTATGTAAAAGACGAGTGTGTACTCGTGTATCTGATCTATATTCGGAAGTAGTACTTGTATCTGGCTGTGCGTATGGTGGTGTCGAAATTGTGATCCAGAAAGCTCCCATGGTGTATTTATGAATATACGTGCGTGTAAGCGTTGTTTTTGTTTCTTTATTTTTTGTTGACATATATTATATTATATTATATATGTATATGTATATGTGTGTGTGTGTGTGTGCGTTTGTGTGTGTGTGTGTTTGTGTGTGTGTGTGTATATATATATATACATATGTAAGTATGCATGTAAATATGTTTATGTATGTATCTATGTATGTATGTATATTTTTGATATATTTATTTACATATATATATATATCTGTGTTTTGCTATATACATATTTTTGTCCAATTACAAAGGCAGTATCGGTGTTTGACTGGCTGTTGCGCGTATGGCGTTGGCACGAGTTCTGCAAGGGTGGCTGGTAGTGATTTCATAGATTTGTGTGATGATGTATGCTATGTATCTGACCTGTGTTTGTGTGTGTGACTCAGTTTACTGGTATGTCTCTGTATCGTAGTGTATTGTGCGTGACCACAAACTGTGTGCTCGGTATCCCCTCTGTCTTTTCTCTGCTTCGGTACTTGGTGATTTGTCTTAGCAACGCGATCTAGTACGCTCAGAAAAATCAATATATATTAACGGACACTGTGCTGTGTATTCGGCAGTGTACACACACACCTGTCACCACTACTATGTGTCGCATGTGTTCGCAAGTGCAACTGTGCAATTGGCTATCGTGGAGATCTGTGCTGATCCCTACCGCGCGTACCTATGTATGGTCGAATATACACACAAGTTCGTGCACCGGTTTCAAATCAATACCTCGCATGTGTATATTCAGGCGCTCACACCTACACTCTTCACAGGATAAAGTGTTCGAGAAGATAGATAAGAAGGAGAAGTTTCGTCTGTACATTACAGTCCCCACACCTGAAGACCGCGGAGTTCAAGCCAAGGTATCGAATAGTGTTTAAGTATTCTCATTTACATGTACATATATACGGGTATGAGTGTGTGTGCATTTGTATTTGTATAGTTGCGTGTGCGGGTATGCTTGTGTATGTGTGCGAGAACGCCTGACTGAATGTGTGAATTGGCACACCCCATTTGTGAGTACACGACAGGGGTGTTGCGTGAATGTAAGTGTATGTGTATGTGTGTGCATGTGTGTGAAATATCGAGCATGTACATTAATGTATATGTGATATGCCAAGACACATATTTGCCTCGTTTCAATATTTTGTATGTATGAATTGATTGGCTGTTTCCGTTTCTGCACCCTATTACTTGATTGAGACCAGCATCTTAATTCTGTTATATCAATGACCTTTGTAATTTCATTGTCTATCTGGAGTGTTTATGCTTTTGCGTGTACTGTATATATTTATATATATATATATATATATATATTATGTATGTGTGTGTATGGATGTATGTATTTATGTTTGTTTGTTTGTATGTATGGATGGATGGATATATATGTATATATATGGGAATGTATAATATATATATATGTATATATAAAGATATATATATATATATATATATATCCGCACATGTGCGTGTGTCTGTATATATATGAGTGTGCGGTGTACATGTGTTGCTTCATCCCATTTACACACATATGTAGTCTCGCATTCGCCAAAAATTGAATGATATAGCTACAAATACCATCCATTTCTGGTCAAATTTCGAATTATACTTCCGCTATCTTAAGTTTTGGTCAAATTTCGAACTATACTTCCGCTATCTTTTAAGTTTTAGTTCATGACTCCGAGCCAAAGTGGCCAGTCGATGGTGGTGCAGTTACCAAACCACACATTGCAACCCAGTACATCTTAGAATGAAACTTCTCATAGCTACGGGGAATGAAGATTCAACGTTCATGTATGTATGTTTCGATTCTAAGCCTTGTTGTTATATACTCAGGGTATCCTGAAGTTCCAGTCCATGACGCTGAGTCAAGGTGGCCAGTCGATGGTGGAGCAGTTGCTGTCCAGAAACCCAGAGATAGAGAATGTGGACGATTACATCACCGTCACCTTCTTAAGGCAAAAAGGTCAGACCCAACACATGTTTCGGCGGTAGTTCGATAGTTTGGGTTATGTTTGTGGAATGTGCACTCACTCCAAGTACCGATACTGCGCACATGAATGGTGAGGTTATATGTCTTATGTTTCTATGGTATGTTTTAATGCAGAGTTTTCCGCAGCGGTGCCCCAATCTTGGGGCTTGCCGTTGTGTCTGCCAGTCTGTACACTTCGACGACTTCTCGCCTGATATTTGATACTGTGCGGCGGGTGAGGGGGGGGGAGGGGTTTTAAGATCATTTCTCGTGAGTTAGCTGGTTGTACGTATATATTCTTGTTCTGCCCTCTCTGACTTTGGCAACACTACCATATTGATAGTTACACTTTCATTTTGTGGCTGCAAGATATTGCACTTAAAAAACTCTGATTCGAGATGTTCAATTATAACGCATGTTCTTTTATAACAGACCACCTACCTGTGAAGAAATCCCATCTGTCAATAGTATATCTGTTTTCTGTATCCACATATAAACAAGGCTCTGTTTCTCTCGCTCAGGTGTGCTTCCCAACGGTGAACACTGCACGGAGAAGGTGTTTGTGCACTCTAAGATTATGGTGGTGGACGATAAAGTGGCCCTCATTTCGTCGGCAAACATAAACGATCGGAGTTTACTGGGACACAGAGACTCAGAATTGGGTAAGTGTACAGACAATCCGTGCAATTTTATACATCTCTGTGTAGACGTGCGATGCGGATTAGTATATGCGTAACGGAGTCTTGTGTGTGTGTTTGTAGTCGTATATCTGGGCATGTTTTCGCCTGTAATATATATATATGTGTGTGTGTGTGTGTGTGTGTGTGCGTGTGTGTTATGTGTTATGTGCATCTGTGTTTATATATATACACTCGCATTAGTGTGCAGACGTAGGCGGATTAGTGTGTATTTTTTAGGCGCATTGTGTCTATTTGTGAGCATGTGTGCTCATTCACAGTGCATCATTCTAGCCCAGATGAGTGTGCTATATGATTGAAGCCGGTACACCCCATATAAGTCTTTCCCGTCTAGGTACACAGCAAAGTGTCAGTGCACAAGCAACAAGACATTGTTGTTTCTGTTGTCGTTTACGTATGCCTTCATGCGTGTCTATGCATACTTGTTTATTAATCGACGTGCATGCTGTGTGTATGTGTACTTGTTTGCTTATGTGTCCATATATGAGTATTCGCGCGTGTATGAGTGAGCATGCGATAACAAGTGTATGCGTACGCGTAATCTACCGCACATGCAGAATGTTCTATAAACCATCCCCTTCTATCCATAATAATCGACGACATTCTGTCCACACCCATATACACTCACCTAAAACCCCACACATTATACCATCCTATTTCTCACTCAATCACACGCTGACATCCACCCACATATATCTACATACACCCAAACACCCATCGATAGGTGTCCTGATCCATGACAGTGACCTGGTACCGGGACGTATGAACGGAGTAGATACAAAGGTAGGTAGGTTTGCTCAGGAATTGCGCATGCAACTCATGGCCGAGCACTTGGGTTGGCTGGTGGAGTCCGATGATGGACACATGTTCACCAGAGATCGCCGCGTAGATGAGGAATTGCCTAATAAGGGAAATACAAAGGAAACCACGGTGAATGAGAAAACGGGGACGCACGCGGACACTCCGGACAGTGATCGGAGTCGCCGGAATAGGTGTAAAATAAGAATCAACTCGATTGTACACGGACGTGAATATAAGAATATGAAGGTTTCTGAAGAGCCGGAGAAGGCCAACTGCATATGCGGGCAAGCCGATTGTAGTGAGGATTGTCAGCTACTGCTACAGGGCACTGAAGATCTTTCAAATACACGCACTACTACACAAGACACCACGGAAACACACACATCACACACACACAACGGCACACATCCACACGTGCACGCCCACACACTCACGACGATGGATACAGATAGCATGAACCAATCTGGGAAGCGTAGTACCGGTGATGGCAAGAGTGTAAGAGAAAATGATAAGCACAGAAAGTGCGTGGTGAGTGGTATCACCATAGGTGACGAGGCCGAAGTTCGGGAGCGATTGCTGGACCCCGTGTGCGACGCATTCCACAAAGACGTCTGGTTAAAACTGGCCAATCAGAACACGCGGATTGTGGAGCAGGTGTTCGACTCTATTGTGTGCAACAAGCACGCCACGTGGGATGAATTCAGCGAGTATTGGGACAAGCCTCCGCATAGAGGTGAGTGGGTATTTCGCGCTGGTTGTGTTTGCGTATTAATTTGTGTGTTAAATGTGTATAGTCCACGCGTGTATTTGTGGGTGGAATATTTGCGGAAGCGAGAAACGGTCATGCTTGCGTCATAGATGTGGTGTGTGTGCGTGTATTTCCGTCTGTTGGCATGTATATATATTTATTTATTATATGACTATATTGTCATATTATTATATTATTATATTATAATATATATATGTATATATGTATATGTATATATATGTGTTTGTATATATAAGTTACATATACATATATATATATGTGCGTGTGTGTGTGTACATATACATATACGTTACATATAGATATGCATATATACTTATGTACTGAATATATATGTATGTTTGTGTGTGCGTGTGTGTGTGTGTGTGTTTGTGAATGTATTTCTTCATGTTGATAGTCATATATATATACGTATTTATATTTATATATATATATATAGATATATATATACATATATATATATTATATATACTATATATATATATATATATATATATATATATATAATATAACATATATATAGTATATATAATTATATATACATATATATATATATATATATATATATAAATGTATACATGCATACATGCATACATGTGTATTTTTAAGTTATATATGTATATCGAATATTTGTATATATATATATATACATATATATATATGTATATATTATTGTGCGTATTGGTAGTTCATGTGTTGCATTGTCATTTCTGTTTTATAATCTATTTGCTATCTTCTTTTGCAACTATGATGCCTGGAAGTATCTGACTTTTCAGTTACTTGCCTGTTTTCGTGTCACACTCATTCATAGTAGTGCTAGACTCTCTGTTTGAATATCGTTTTTGTGAATGTCATTGTCGCTGGAAATCATATAGACAGGTTGGCCCTCTGCAAGTTGTCTGTCATATTACATATACTTTGGAGCAAGGTCTTTTCAGTAGCCTCCCTTTTTCCGTGCTAAATTTTCTTATTCTATACTTTTACCGAAAAATCCGCAATGACGATAGATAAAACCCATCTGCTGGAAAATTACCAGGTGTGTGCGAAAATTTTATTTTGGGTGTGGCTGTGTTCGTATTTGTTTGTCTTCGAACTTCTTTGTGCCTGTGTGTTTGTCATTGTCATCATTTCACTGTATATATCTTGGGACTGAAATTGTCTGAGTTTGTATGTGGTGCTCAAAAAAGTATCTGTAAATATTTTTTACATTGCCAGTCAATATGTCCTCAGAGGTAGTCAAGTAGCATTTAAAACCATATTAATAGATACACCGAGTGATAGTATTGTGATAATATGTCACGCTTATCAATTTTTGATTCGCGTTTATGTTAACCGAATTCGGCACGTGACTGTCAACCCCTCTACGTTTTATTATATGCTTTCCTCGAGAGCACCGCGTTAGGGTTCGGTTTCTATATGTGGCAATCATCTGGCATTCCTGTTTTAACGCAGGGACGCTAAATATACACTCGGGACTGATTTAATCATAGGCTTATGGAATCGCCATTATAAAAGTAGATTAATCGTATGCACATATATACATACATGCACGTGTTTATGCACGAGTGATGGTATTTTCATACGCTTTGTAGACCTGCAACAAGGGAGTTATAATCTATATGTACACGCGCCATATCTGGATCATTTCTAGTTGATATGGACATTTATATAGTAGAAGCTTCTGTCGAGTTTGGTGGTTGTGTTTTAGCGATTTGCTACGAGGTAAATGTACTCAAATTGTCAAATTTTTTGTGAATCTTTGGATACATATACATGAATGTATTGCAATACTGTGTACTACATCAGATATCCCTCGATTTTTAAATATGTTCTTAACATGAACGCTTAGAGGTCAAATGTACAAGCAGATTTGGATTCTTGTGATCCTTTACAGGTGAATCTCATGCCAAAGTATCCTAATATGCTTTCATAAACCTTCAAAACGCTAGTGTCAGTTTTGACAAGTTTTCTGTTTTGAAATTATGTGCTTCAATATACATAGTCACGGGCATTGACATGTGTGCACGTACATTTCTTTGTGGATGTAGAATATTTATAAGGGTTGATTGTATCCGTTTAAGGGTCTATCATTCTGCCGGCGACGATTAAATTGCAAAGCAATTGTGTGTCAATGGCACTCATGCGATTTTTTAAAGTCCATAGACAGTCGTGTCTACGCTTCGTACTTCGTCGTTCATAGTATGGACTTATATTTGTTGTTCTCATGCATGTCATTCTTCCTTCAGGGGTTGCTGACTATGTATCCGCTTCACTTTCTTGGAGGGGACACGCTTACAACGAATGAGGCTATGGTGCTGGGGGATGTTCTTTTCCAGTGATAATTTTTTAGTGCATCATCTACTGAAGTGTGTCTCTATTTTCGAAATAAAATACAATTCAACTTATTTGCTATACAATGAACATTGATTTCCTTGTTTGTCCACGGTATAGTTTTCTGAGTTTTAAACTATGATTTATTCACTGCACATTCCTCCATGTATGCTGCAAAGTAAAGTGGTGCTTACTTTCTGGCTGAAATCTCAAAAAGATATATCAAGTTCCCGCGAAGTTTTATCATGAGGAATGATATCATCACCGACGATTACATTGTAGCAATGCACAAATAAATAGTACTCCTATTTTACCGCGACTTTTAGCTAGGATTCAATGTTTTACTGTACGATATCTACTATGGCTTAAGTGGGTCAATTCGCTATACGGGCGCACTTCTCTGTGCATGGCCGTTTGAAACTGAGGGCGGTCGTTTATATGATTATCAATGGTTAATATTATTCGGTTACCTGATGCTCGGACGCCGGCGTAGTGTATCTCGGAGTTTGTCATGTACTTTTCTTAAGCTGAAAGTTCTTCTTGGATTGTGTGATGCCGGTATTTTAGCCACCTCGGTATGAGGTTCAGACTCTGCTTTGTCACTCGATATAGTGTATATACTAGCTATAATCAGCTGGGATTCACTGGATGGATCGAATGTGTGGCAGAATTGGGCCCGCTCAGTCGCTGGGCTTATTGCGGTACTATTACCGGTGGTGGACGAATGTGTTATGATCGGGCACAAAAGGATTGATTTTCTGTCAGAAGAAATAGTAGGAACGGCCGCCATACTAATTCGTCTGACGAAAGAATCGTGCTGATTCACAAACTGGGTATCTTTGGCCTTTGATTTACGATTTAGGTGTTGCGCGATACATCTCTGAGACTTGCTCGATTGTATCTCGGGCGTCATGTTGACGTTTGCTATTTTGATATACTGAAATGGACTTTCATAGCATGAACTTTCAATATAAATATACGTTCATGATCACGAGATTCATTTCTACATATTATTTTTTTAATGCTTACATATTAAAATATGTTGAAACATAAATGAACAACCGGTTTGTTTTTTTTCTTTTCGTGCTTCTCCGGATGAAATTTGAAAAATGGATTCTCATTTCTACGGTCTCCGTCCTCCCAGTATTTTAGTTAAAATAAGATACGTACCTACACTTTAGAGCAGAGTAGAGCAAGAGTTCTTTAGGGCCCGCAGTCCTTCTTAAGCTCTTTCCTGCCCACAATATTGTAGGACGCAATAGCGAGCTCAAATCAAAACTGTCAATACTATCATTTGACAGTTAGTGTGAAAACTGGAATGAGTGGAAAGTGGAAAGTTAAAAGATTAAAAAAAAATACAATTCAAAATTTCAAATTTTAGATAACTGATAAAACAAATGACTGGAAGCAAATCTAAAAAATCTATTTTTGTTTATTGGAGCATGTCTTTCATCTACCTGCCTCCAGCCTCCAGCCTCCAGCCTCCAGGTCCAGAATTTGTTGTTTTTTTTTGTTTTTGTAAAAAATATTTATAAAAACAGCAGTGGCGGGCTGACTGCCAGAGGCTGAGACCCAGTCACACACGAGTGCTGACTGCTGAGTGCTGACATGTCTACTGTCCACTCACACTGTCCCCCTCACCCGGTCACCCCTGTCACTGTGGGGTGTGAGCTGTGGGGTGTGGACCTGTTCCTGTGGCCAGTGGGCTGTGGTGTGGGCCCCATGCATCCCAGGTTCCCCTTCAATCATCATTGAACATGGATTCCATGGCCCTCTGGAATTTTTCTCTCAGAACGATTTTGAGGCTTTGTCCTCTCTCTGGAGTCTGACTCTGGACTCTGGATTCTGGAGGTTGAGGACTGGATCACAAGGCTCTCTGGAAAAAAGAAAATCTAGAGAGAGTAATATTATAATATACAGAGTGACAGACTATACAGTATACAGTATACAGTTCATATAAAGTATACAGACTATAGTGACTAATTGACTATAAGTAAACTCCATCAGTCCCACGTCTCCGCCTTTTAGGACTTTTTTAAAATATGTATTTATTTGCAATTTTGCAGAAATCATGATTCTTCCGGCGACAAATCGTATATTTAGCATAGACACAAATCCATTGGGGCATATAAAGTTTAGCACAGAGACCCAAATCCAGAGGGCCATGAATTTTGCATAGCCTCCTAAAATTACTAAATTAGAGCTGTATTTATTTTAAAAATAATTGGGAATGATCTTAAACTTTTCACACTCTCACTCTACTATTGAGTAGTCCGTCTAGTTCTCTACAGAGGCCGAGGGTATTAAAAACAACTTTAAAATGAAATGTTGAAACTCAGGGCTCAGCCCATGCTGCTCCCATATCAACGTGTTAGCGTCATTTGTACCAGTGTTTTCATGGCTTATCATTCTGAAGACGGTGATTAAAATGCAATGCAACTCTGTGTCAATCGTACCCATGCGAATTTTAAGTCCATAGACATCCGTGTCTACACTTCGTACTTCATCGTTCATAGTAGGGGCTATTATTTTTGTTCGCATTCCTAGTATATCATTCTTCCTTCAGGGGATGCCGGCATGTATAAAACCCTTGAGAGGACACGCTTACAGCGAATAAGGCGATGGTGCTGAGGAATCTTCTTTGCCAGTGATCTTTTTAGTACAGTTTATTTATGAGCCATCCGGTGTTTCTCCACCTTCGAAATAAAAATCAATTAAACGCATTACCTTTACAATGTAAATCGATTTCCTTGTTTGTCCACTGTATAGTTTTTTTAAGCTTCAAAGTGTGGTATAACCATAGCATATTCATCCATGTATACCGCAAAGTGCAGGTGACGCATACTTTCTGCCTAAAATCTCAAAAGGATGTGCCAAGTTCCCCAGTTCACGCGACGTTGTTATCAAGAAGAGCAATATTATCACCGACGATTGCATTGCACGACTGGAATGTAGAACTACAATCCTCTTCTTACGCATCGACTTAAAGCTAAGATTTGATATTTTCTTGCACAATATTTACTATGGCCAAAGTGAGTTAATCAGTTTTGAGTACAAAACAGAGGCCAGTAGTTTATACAATTATGAGTAGTTAATATTATTCGATTACCTTATGCTCGGACGCCGGCGTAGAGTATCTCGAGTGTGTTATGTACTCTTCTTAAGCTGAAAGTTCTTCTTGGATTGTGTGATGCCGGTATTTTAGCCACCTCGACATAAGGTTCAGACTCTGCTTTGTCACTCGATATAGCGTATATACTAGCCATAATCAGCTGGGATTCACTGGATGGATCGAATGTGTGGCAGAATTGGGCCCGCTCAGTCGCTGGGCTTATTGCGGAACTATTACCGATGGTGGACGAATGTGTTATGATCGGGCACAAAAGGTTTGATTTTCTGTCAGAAGAAATAGTAGGAACGGCCGCCATACTGATTCGTCCGACGAAGGTATCGTACTGATTCACAAACTGGATTTCTTTGGCCTTTGATTTACGATTTAGGTGTTGCGCGATACATCTCTGAGACTTACTCGATTGTATAACGCGCGACATGTTGACGTTCATTATTCTAATATACTGAAATGGTCTTTCATTGCATGAACTTTCAATATAAATATATGTTCCTGATCACGAGATTCATTTCTACGTACAATACATCATGGGCTTTATGGCATTCTGGATAGTCTTGAGCGAAAAAAAAGGTTCGCGTACATAGACTCGGCGGAAATCGATTGGGTGGGGGGGGGTGGTTTTTTAACAAAACACAGTAGAATGATGAATTGATGATATTTATCAGAATGTTCTATTTATTTATTTCCAGCTATGATATTTTATATATATATAAAATTTTAAACATATTTCGATGCGTTAACGTTTGACTTCGTTTTCGTAAGTCCCCACTCCCCACTCCCCCGCCTGTATATTTTTTTCTTTTGTTTTTTTTAAATTAAAGTAAAAAACACGTAAATATTTAGCATATTGTGGTATGAACGTTGAGACTTTTAAACTATGTATGTCGCTATGACTCTATGAGTCGTCTGATATGAGGTTTGTTGACTTTGTAATGTGTTCTGTATATAAAATATAGTATAAAATTATAAAAAGCCGGGCATACAGCCTTCTAAAATAAAACACCGCTGACGTCGGTGGGGTACTAAAGTTTGGTTCCAGATTTCCGATTTCTTTTTGGTTGTTGTTGTTGGACGACACATCAAGGGGTGCAATATTTTATATTGTGAACGCAAATCAGAATTTTTGTTTCTATCATTCTTATATCAATCTCTCTGATTCGCTCTCAGAGAAAGTCTCTTGGAATGTAACAAAATGAACGGTGGCAGTTGGAAATCAATAGTTTGTTTGCAAATTATTTGAGGAATGTTTTGTGTTTTGTTTTGAAATATACGAGTTATGACTATTTGGTTTTCTAAATAGGAGTTGGAGCATTTTTAGCCTTTAGAACTTTCCAACCAATTTATAATAATATACATTCTCAAGAAGTCTCAACTCTCAACCTCTTTTCCTGAGAATCTGAGTGGCCGACATAATCTCAGGCTTGTCAGGGATTGGCCGGTTAATACTCAGGTGAGTCAAGCAGTGGTCGAAAGATACTCAGTCGCTCTTCAGGTTGGGCTGGAAGATAGGGTGTTGTTCCGGCCTGTCCGAAATTTTTCACCTGTCCGGACTCTGGAAGGTCCGTTTTGGAAATTGAAAAGATCGAAAAGAGCGTTTTTCTTGTCCAGACTGGACCTAGAGAGGACTGGACGCAGACTCTCGTTTGTACTCTGTAGTACCGACACTATATGACACAACTGACCCTATGGTAGTTGGTACAGGTTGCACCATATGGACTGAGATGAAACCTGCCCTGAAATCCCATGACAGGGCTGTCCTGTCCTGGAAGTCGGACGGACAGACAGTCTGCGGTTAGGCCAAGCCGCGGTTACGAAGTCCAAGGCCCGGACGACCGGACCTCTGGCCACATATGAACCCAACCACGAGGACTAAGGAGCTGGACGAAGCCAGGCCAAGATTAGGACACACCCCATAGTTGGGGGTCTTTTGTACAATACATACTTGCCATTTTTGAAATAAATAATATTATCCCTAGTAGTCAAGGTAGCAGACATCGACCTTAGTTTTCGAAAAATAAACTCAGTGTACAGCCTACTAAGATCTAACTGCTGAGACTACTACTTACCTAACCAGGGTTTACTAATTATTTATTTTTAAACCTTCCTCTATGGTTAGCTTTTATTATTATGGTTCAGTTTTCCACTGATGCTCCTGCAGCCCAGGTACGGCCTCTGTAGTATTCACTGGCAGACGTAAGCGACCCATTTCCACGTTCATCAAGACCTGGAATTCCTACAAATATGTGTTGCAGAAATATATGAACCTGGCCACCGATGCTGGACGCTAGTAACCGGGGGGTGGGCGCAGCGCTTTTGTACAAATTCCACCAGCAGTGACACCAGAGTATGTAGAAGGGGAACGGGCTATTGACGAATGTACTGACTACCGTGCGGGTCTTGGACTCCCACCGGTAACGTTACATCCCCAGGTTTCTCGGCTAGCACTATTAGCTGGTGAGACAAACTCCCAGTTCTTTGATGCAGACAGGGTAATGGTGTTGGATGATGATTACGAGAAGGTGTTACCTTCGGAACTCGCTACATACCCCAAGGTCTCGCATAGACCACTTGTTTGTGCAGCCAATATGTGTGTATCTAGTACCTCTCGCACAAGAGAGGGTATTATTTCAGTACCAGACAATAGTATCCAGAATGTACTCATAGAACCCATCACAGTGCATAGCTGCAACTGTTCCTTCTATGAACTCGGCACCTGGCTGACGACCGATTACAAGCCAAACCCCTTGTCTCGTACGATCCAGTGGTGGCGACGGTGCAAGTTGGTTCCTCAACCAGAGACCTCACCTGAAGAAGAAAAACAGTATCCGATGGTGTCCGGGCCGAGACCTGGTGTGAAAAATCAGCATCCGATGCTGTCTGTACCGAGCTTTGGGGCAAAAAATCAGCATTCGATATTGTCTGGACCGAGTCCTGGGGGCAAAAAAAAATATGCATTCGATGTTGTCTAGACCAAGTCCTGAGGCGTAGACGTATCAATATCCGTAATTGAAAGTTCACGAAGTTTGCTGAGTTGCTCACGAATGAGTTGAATAACTTCCGTGGCCTCCTGCACACACATGTGTCATCGTAGTCAAGTGTCTCTCTTCAGAAATACACTCCGGCGCTTGTCGAAACTTTCCCAAGAGAGAAATCGAGTGTTGGGTCTTCGAGATCAAACGGGTCAGTGTAGCGTCGATTTCTACCTTCTTTGTAGAAATATGACCTCCGGTCAGTCTAAAATATCAAGATCAAATGCTATAACACATTGTTTTTATTTGTATTTAAAAATTAAAAATACAAGTTCTTTTTTCAATATTACCAAAGTGTTCTAAATTCAATTTGATGTCTCCAATAGCCTGAGTATTTGGTATGACTCATTTACTTGGACCTATTTGAGACGACAGTAGATGTAGAATATTGTAAACTAAATTTATTGATCTCTGAACTGCTACTTACAGGTTTTGGTCTTCCCGCCAATCTCCAAAATTCAAGAAGTCTTTTCTTTTCCTTTTTCTTTTCTGCAGATGGAATTTTATTTATACTAGCTAGTGTATAAACTTGACGTACGTTCATATGTCTATCTACAAATCAGACATGTGGTCATGAACACTTAGTACTTCTAGTGAAAATTATTCAATAAAGAACAGCTAGAGGTACGTCCTGTGTGATCGAGGATACTAAGGCTCTCACTAAGAGGCAGTCCCGATCATTCTTACACAAGCTACCACTGCTAAATCCTAACTGACTTAAATTGTATCTTAGTTTATATAACATAGTTTAAAACATAGAAATATCCATCGTTAGCAAGTGCTGTCCATGTCTTCACCTCATCACATGCAAACGGCGAAGAGCTTCAAGCAACCGTTTCAGCAGCCGGTCACAAGCATGCTAACTTACCTTATGCAACGGTTTAGTATTGGGTCCCGTCTGTAGTAGCTAAAAGGTACGAGTTAAAGAATACAATAGACCTCTTCTCAAGTACGGTTATCTCAGCTAGGAAAAGTCCCTAGTCTGAGAGAACCAGACAAAGTCTTTATTTGTGTTTTCACTCGACTCAGGATTTACTTGAGTGTTTTTGTGGACAAATTACCGTAGACGGAGATGTAGGGCCGGACCAGAGAACCGAACCGACATGAGGAATCTAGGACCGGTCCAGAGAACCGACCTAGGAGAATTTATTTAGAACCGAACCATAGGATCGGGCCTGAGATGATTTAATTGTGATCCGAGGACCGGATTAAATAATAGAATATGTAAGCTTCGATAGGAAATTACTAGGTTTCAAACTATATTAAACTAAAAT